TTTTTGCTTGGCAACTCAGTGTCAGTGCATCATTTCCGTTCCGAATGCAATTACTGAAATTAGGGATGCGAAGTAAATCTGCATATTACGAGTAACATTAACATTGGATGTTAACTTTATATGTACAGTTCCAATATTTTTAAGTTTTATTTTTATTAACTGCAATACTTGTATGTTAAACAATCTCTTATAAACTTCAACAGATAAATTATGTGCGGAATTATAAGTACATCATTCACTTGAATTGAGTTTCTTTGATTTTAATATTGTATAATTCAACTACCTCCCTTTCCTTCCTTTGATGCAAGAAGACTCCCTTCACATTCTCTGAAATACGAAACAAAGTTTATTTAAAGTGAGCGCAAAAAGCAGAGGGTTTCGAAATAAAGAGTCATTCTCTGGTCCTTCAGTACTCAAGTAACTATTTGACTTGCAATTGTTTATTTAAAACTTTCCGTAATCATTCAACAACTTTCGCATTGGTTTTATATTTATTCATTTTTGCTCTTCACCTATTCAAGACAGTGCGAAAAAACTGCGAACGTATCTTAATTTAATGATGCAAATCATTGAACTTGAACTACCTTTCATTGTTAATGATGCTCATTCAAAAGTTCACAATTAATTATACCTAAATGATTAACGATTATGGTTACTTATAGCATTTTGAAATCCAAGTCCTAGCGAATTGAATTCACAGGGGTATTTTTGTTGCAAATTCTCATGAAATCTTCGATTTAAAATTCACTTCTTCGCTGTCATTAAGTTTTTACTTAATATTCTAAATACTTTAAAACTTCAAAAAGGCGAAAGATTGATACTTCATAGTTTTAAAGTCAACTTCAATTTATTCGTATTAAATAAATAGTAAAAGTAGTATCAAAAAGTATAAGTAGGAAGTATCATGATAATTCATACGAATATGATTGTTAAATAAAATGGAAATCGATGTGTGTAATCAGTAATCAGCAAATCAGTCATTAAATTGTTAGCAAAATCGGTTTCGTAATTATTATAAGGTTATCTACAGCCAGATAATTACCCCAGCACTACTTTGTGGCTCTGTCGCGTATAGCAAAACTGCCCACTCTACTATGCAGAAGCTACAAATTGCTCAAAGTCAGGCCTTCCGAAGACTCTTCAAAGTGCCATAGTACATCCGCACGAATGACATTCTAAAAGACCTTAGAATAGAGCCGGTCAGAAAATATATAAGGGACAGAGCCATGAAGCTATATGTGAAAACCGAGAGGCTGTCCTACTTAGCACAATCTAATCTCAGAGTAATCATTAACCGCAAAGGGCGGTACGCCGATCTTAGATCAGTGATTGAATAATCACGAAGCTTATGAGGAATACACAAATAAGTCAGTGAGATGGGTGGGACTCTGCAGAAACCACCCAGCTATCAAAGAGTAAAAGTACCCAGTTGCACTAACTCGGAAAAGGTTCAACATATATATATTAACATACTTCCAACAAATTCGTCTTGCAAAGAATTCCGTATATGGATTATTCTTTTACAAACCGGACGAATTTTGGCAAAAAATGACCTCATCACCTTCAATTTGGCTGAAATTATTTTTATGAGCTCCTGTATATGGGGAAAAAATTTTGCATGTCCATTTTTCCTAGGAGATATGGATCCATAGCGTTTTGAAAATTGGCATTGTAGACACATTTTCAAATGGCCATATCTCAGGCTATATAAATGATAGGCACTTGAAATTTGTTGCGTTTTAAAGATAATTGATATAATTTTTAAGAAATTGTTTAAACAATTAAAATTGTTTTGTTTAAACACTAATATTAACCATTAAATTTCAAAGAAAAAAAATTTCTAAATGTAATAAAAATTTCTAAAGAATTTTCACTTTTTATATTTTATTTAGATTTAGTCTTAAATTTTACTGCGAAATAAAACTATTCGGAATGTAATTACATTTTAAAATTTTTGAAATTTTTTTTTCTCCCGCAAAACACATCAAGAACGTACTATATTTCCATTGAATGCATTTTCAAAGAGTATACTACAAATATTCTAATATAATATTTTTGATTTCGATTAATAAGAAAATTCTACATTTAATCCAAGAATTTCAGGACGATATTGTCCTTGGAAGTACTTTTAAAAAAAGTGTTTATCCTTCACATCACATCAAACACATATACACGATTTTTCAGTAAAAAAAAAAGAAGAATATGTCACATAAATTTTTTATTTTTAGTTTAAATTCAAATTAACCAGTAAATTTTACTTAAAAAATAAATATTTCCAGTGTGACATTGCTTTAGAAGTAATTAAAAAAATTAATTTAATAGGCGTCCCACACGTCACTCATACGCACCATAATACCATTAAATCAGTTGTCCAAAAAAAAAAACGACATAAAAATGTTTTGCTTTTATTTCTAAATTAAATGTATATTAACTTTTACATAAAATTTAAATATCTTAAATTATATCAGCATCATCTGCTTTTTTAAATTACAAATTTTAACATAATTAAACCGTTTTATAACCTTTTTTCTTATGTTGATGAATTCAAAAATTAATTAATTCTTCACCAGCTGAACTACCAACATAATTGCAGCACATAATTATACCTACCTTCTTTAGTGAAGTGTTATTCTGTAAGAGTTGGAAAAATACTCTGCACAGATAAGAAATGTTATAGGAAATAGATAATGACTCCTTAAAATCTCTTATACATCCACCTTATAGTCCAGACCTGGCACCAAGTGATTAACATCTGTTTCTGTCCATGGCGAACGGTTGTTCTGGTGAAAATCATCGCTTCAAGAGAGGCTAAAGAAAATAGACTGTCTCAATTTTTTACCAATAGGGACAAAATGGCAGCAAAATAGATGATAACTATTTATTTTTTTAAGTTTAAATAAAAGCTATCTTATGGGAGATATATGATTTTATATTGATAGTACCACAAACCATACAACACGACTTGTTTTTGCTGTATTGCACAAGAAAGATCTTCAATAATTTATAGCACTTAATCTGGTAACGCTACGAACCTATGAACAGCATTGGACGTAACAAACGTGGTGTTACAGCTACCTTTAATGCTACCGAAAAGAAATCTACTAAAATAGACTCAGCTATGAATGAGAATAAATTGAAGTATATGAGGTTTACTTCCAGAAAATCGCTCAAGTCACTGTCTAGAGCTAGTGGCAGACGACTATATTTTGGAAGCTGTAAAGGAGTTTATTTATCTCTGGACAGCGACGTAACTGACAACAACAATATAAGTTATTATTGGAACTTGTTAAAAAGTTTTTGTGGCTGAAAAAGTCAGTAAGGAAGTCTTACAAAACAGCTTCCGTTTGCTAAAAGTGTGGCGAGTTAAGTATAGTGACGAAAAATTGTCAAAATGAAAAGGTTCACTTCAATACAATTGTTAAGTTAGATATTCCGCATCAAACACTACAGCTAGACGTTGCTGTGTTGTATCACAACTCACTCTTGACAACAATAAAACTTAATGCACCAATTTAAAATCTACCTCCCATATTTTTATTATTTCTTGGACCAAGAAATCAGTGATTCACTTCCCGCATTTATGGTACTTTCTTAAGATACCCCATATATATTATATGTTAACAGGTTGCAATGTAAATGAATTTAAAATAAATATCTACTCTATAATGCATATCTCTATTTACTGGAAGTAATCAAATTGAAAGTAATAAAACGCTATCTGTGCAGTCAATATAACCAATATAATGTTTATTTGAATCATTCCCGGTTATTATCTTAAGTCGCACGCAGCCAATATCTATAATTTCGCAATTAAAGACTTCAGAAGAATCATCGATTGCGTTTAGCAGAAAGTATACAATTCTATTCAATTGCATTCAATTTGACATTTGTTTGACTGTCGGTATATTAGTTGGAGCGTAGATTCCATAGTGTAAATTTGTTGTATATTTAAGAAAACTCGTACTGTAAGTAAATTTCTCACACATTGAAGTTGAAATGAATCTGAGTACAAACACGGGCGAGCAGTTTAGACGAGATTGTCAAGGCAACCTTGCCGACGCGACTGCTACTGTCAATTCTATATTTGCCTTAATTCCAAACTCAAACTCTAATATCATCCGCCGTAAGCCAAACACCGACACAAGCCCCATCACCGTCACCGTCACCATCACCAACAACCGAAAGGCGTTTACAACTTCTCCAACAATCCAACAACCCGACAACCCAACAGACACACAGCCCAACAACCCAACAACCCAACACCCCAACACCCAAGCATTCAAATTGTGGCAATACCAAACTAAGTGCTGCTGTCAAAGAAAATTTCTATTTTGGAATCGTTGTTTGCATTATGGATTTTGTGGGCTTAAAGTGGCTTCCTCGCTTGGCTTCGTTTATTTTACTAAGCATAATGATGCTGTTTGCAAAGATTTCATTTGTGGTTGGGGGCTTATGTTGCCATTACTACTGCTCCAGCCACTGCCTTTGCTCAGATATTGCCGGTGTGGCTGTTGCTATTGATGTTGCTTTTGTTGTTGTTATGTCGTTTGAGTTGTTGTCGTACTGATGCTATTGGTATGGGGCAAACATTGAAATTATAGGATTGCCATATATTCACATAAAGACAACGGAAATGGAAGTAAAATATCCTTTTGTTTAAATTTTGAGCTGAAAATTGCTTAGCCACGCATTTTATTCGCGACTTTTATTATTTTAGTTGTTTTTGTTAGAAGTATTGTGTTTGTTGGATCCATTGTCGTTGTCATTTTCAAACTCGATTGTTGTTGCTTTAGATATTATTGTTTGCATATTGACTGTGCGCTTATCATTATGGCAGTGTAAAGTCCTTAATTGAGGGTAAATGTGCTATTTTAGCCTTTTATGGAGTTCACTGAAGGCTTTAAATAGGATTTTGTTTGTTTGATATAATTTTTAATATTCAAACAGAAATAAATGTTTACCAATTTAAAGAAAGTAACTTGAGGCGAATGTTTCTGTAATATAAAAACATTTATTAAATCAAATTAATATAATAAATATATACATATATGTTTAATTTTAGCCCAAAAGTCCAGGTGAACCACCCAACAGTCCATTCGAGCCGCCCAATAATCCAGTGTTTCTATTTCCGCTTGAATTTGGTGGGCGCAAAACATTACCAGATGCACTGCCTCTATTGGTATTACTACCGGTGAGAGCACCAGTTACGCCACCCAAAGTATTTCCAACTCCTCCCAATGAACCACCAACTCCACCTAAAGCACCAGTAACAGGCGAAAGTAAAGCATTTAAACCTTTACAAGAGGTTGTTGTTAGTGGCGTTAACGATGCACCGAAAACCGATAGTTCACAAAAACGAAAATCATTTCCCACTTCCACACCGGTATCAACTTTAATAAAAGGTGTCCCTTTAGCTGTAATACTTTGAAATAGTGTATCCTTAATGTTGGCTATCTTTGAATCGGCTTTAAAGTTCTTAGCAAATTTAACTAGTAGACCAATCATATTCTTACGCACTTTCAGGTCTTCTGCACTTGTTAGACGAGTGTCTGGTAATGGATTTCCGAAAATATCATTCGCATCAAACATATAACCCAGTTCATCACCATGTGCTACAATCTCTCCATCTGAACTTTGAGTATTACCAACAATTGGCAAGCCACGCAAGAAATTAATGCCTTTGGATTTCGTGCCATTATATTCAAAACTGTACATAAATGCTGGTGCCATTTGAGACCAAACTTGCGATGTTAGTACGGCCGGAAGGTTGAATAAGACATCCGTACTTGCTTGAACAACCTAAAGTAGTAGAAATAAGAAAATGCAAATATTAGATCCAAAAAAAGATATATATGTATAAAATAATAGTTATTAAATTAGAATATTAGTACCGTAATATCAGTAATAGACGTATTGTGTAAAGCGATACTAAAGACATTTTTTTTTTGTAAAACATTAGTATGACTTTAAATAAATTTTTGGACCAAAAGTGTAGTTTAACAGACTTTAACAGTACGACGTCGACTCATCTTTGTTCGTAAAAAAAAATTTATAGAATTAGTTATACATATATCAACAGACTTTCAAAAATCCAGTTTCAACTTTAACATGCTTAATAAAAGAAGAATCAAAAATCAAAACATTTACGATATACTAAACCATATACAAAGATCGACTTGCACTTACTCAGTTTACACCACCGGGGAGCTTCCGAAGGTTACGCTATATGTGATAGAATGTTCCACATTTACAAACAATCAAAGGAATCAAAATTATTGTGTTTAATAATATTATTATATTTATTATGTTTATATTTATATTATTATATTTAATCCATTTTTCATCCCTCGTAATTATTTGCTTCAGAAACTACTCGATATCGTCGCGTTTCAACAGGAAAGTTGGTTGCAGTGGCAGTCAAGCAGATAACCCCCTATTGGTCTCAATAAGCAATTTTTGCCGTTTTGCTATCATATTCCTAGCAAGAAACTCTAAGATAAGAAGATACAAACTAAGTTCATCCAGTCGAACTTAGATTATATTTTCGTCTTTACCGATAAACAGTCTGATAAACTTTCAAAAAAGTACTTCTCTTAAAACTTATTTCTTCTAAATGCCAAAATCGGACATTAACAGAGAAAATCACTGACGATCGGGCAATCAAATACCATTGCGTTAATATTATGGTACCTAAACAACAAACGCCTTTGTGTAGCCTATTTTTTTTGAATAAGTCCCATATGGTATATGATTGATGTTTATTGTATCCACTATCTCCTGACAGTCTTGCTCAACCAGTACCAAAATTTCTTCGACTTTTTTGTAACAAAAAATATGGATACTTTTCACTTTATCTCATACATCCGATAATCAAAATATTGACCAGCTAATTTGACACCAATTTAATGAATAGCATTATTCTAAAATTTACAATTCCTTAATAGGAAGGAAGGAATAAAGGTTTGTTTAGATAACAATGTGGAATAAGTATTTGATAAATCAAAAAATAATATTTTACTAGAATGGAACCAGCAAAACGTAAACAAAATGACAAATAGTCGGTATGAATTCCACTGCAATCACTGTAAAGGACTTGGCTTGCCACTCTTTTCTGATTTTGGTGTAAATTCTAGCCTGTAGGTATATTAAATGAATACCAAATTACACATGGAGTAAATGCACCATCGCTTGTGACCATCTCGAAGTGATTCCAGAAATTTCAGAACAGACACTTTTTGGTGGAGAACAAATCATTGACTGGTGATGTAAGTGTCGCTCTGTTAAAATTGAAAATTTGTAAAGATCTAAGATATAACACAATAAGACAGTAAAATAAATTAGAGAGGTTGAAGTTTATAGGGATGAGTACCCGATAATAATAATTGTATAATCACTAGCTAACTCATTGTATCTTGCAAATGCACAAATCAGATATACTGTTAGTATGTAAAACAAAAAATCTATATGTTTACAATGCAGAAGCTATCAGAGTATCTCATCAATGCAATATCTAATAAAAAATATAACACTATAATTACTTGTAATTTAAATTCTATAATGTTAGTTACTAATAAAAACACGCAAGGGTATACAAATTTATTTTCATTAATATTTATACAAATATATATGACTATATAGGGTGTTTCTAGTTCACGTCCAATAAGTTTCTGTGATGATATTTCAAATCAAGAAATGAAGAAAAACATATGGAAAGGAGGATCCGTCTTCAATATTACATTGTGAAGAATTTTACAAAAAAATTAATAAAATTATTAACCGATTATTATTTAAAACAAAAATGAAGGTACGGAGAAATATATTCATTTTAAATTATATATTAAAGTATAAAAAAAATTTTACAAGTATAATATTCAGTTATTAAGCATTGATTGTCACAAAAAAGAAGACATGGATAAATGATTCTATTTTCTATAATATGATATGGAAGAGAAAAATCTAAAAAAATAAAATATTCAGTTTGGAAATTTAAATATATTGAACATCTGTTTTTAGTCCATTTTATTTCTAATAATTTGATTAATAATTCATTCCTTTACTGAACCCAGTTCAAAAATTCTAGGATTTCTCACATTCATTTTTGTTTTTTCAACACTTTTTCATATATATCCAGTGACATATACTCTTTAACTCAATTTATGAACACAATGACTAATCTGATTTTTGCCAATTTCAAGTAAATACGAAATAATGTTTCCAAAAACACTTAGTACTATAATCCACCTTACTTAATTACACCCAATATTATCGATGTATTAACTTGTAGTACACGACAATATCACATAAAAAAAGTTTATATTAAAATGAACTCATTCATTATATAATGCAATTACCTTTGAAAAAATCTGGTCCAAATTTAAAGTTTCAGGCACTTTTAATACCTCGTTCAGTGTAGGAGTTAATGTACTAGCCAGCCCCGGTAACTGCGGCTTAAGAATGTTACCAGTGATTGCATCGATTCTCAAAAAGCTGGTCAAATCTTTAAGTACATCCGGAAGTGTACTCAAAAGTTTTTCTGCTGAACCGAAAACTTTATTGACAACATCAAGAGTGAAGGCATTCGCAGTTTCATGCTTAGTAACGCCGGTTAACAGCGGAAGGGGTGTAAAATTACCGCTACGTAATTGTTCTTCCGGTGCACCTACAATGAGAGCAGGCAAACCTCGCCTATCGTCCCCATCCTCTATATGAGGTTGAAAACCAACACTGGCAGAAAGACCTTTTATCAATGCGCGTCCAGCCAACCGTTCAGTTTGCACTTGTGAATCATTTTCTATAATTTCCTGAGCAGGTTTCTTTAAAAAAAAATAAATAAATATCAATATATTATAATAAGCAAATGAAAATCTTATATACACTAACCTGTCTCAAACAATTTATAATTGCAATTTCGTTTTCAGTAGGGCAACCATTTATTTGTGCCACTTCTTCAACACTTTGCACAGGTTCTTTATCTATTGCATATTGCGATAATGCTGTGCCGGACATGGCCACCACGCCCGACATATCACCAGCATTGCGTGCTGTACGTGACATTGATAAATACATTGCACTAGCAGCACCCGAACCGTGACCAATCGCTTTAATCTGTTTTGGATCACCACCAAAATGTGAGATATAGTCGTTTACCCAACGAATAGCAGATGCCATATCAAATATTGCCAAATTGCCATCAAATTCTTTTGTACCATCACCCATAATGCCTAAAGATCCTAAACGATACTGTGGCGTTACGACGATAACGCCTTCTTGCGCCATTGGTGTAGCATCATACTGAGCTGCAGAACCATAACGAAAGCCTCCAGGATGTATCCACACATATACCGGTAAACCAGTCGTTTCATCCGGCATTTGCGGAGTGTAAATATTCAAAAGCAAGCAATTCTCATCACCAACAATACGATTGCGAGCATATGGATCCGGTTGTATGCAAGGTGGTCCATGGTGTGTAGCATTTACGTCACCAGCAAGACGTTTATACAAAGGACGGGCGTAACGATTCTCTCCAACCGGCGGCTCAGCATAATGAATGCCCAAGAAACTATAAATTCCAGTTCTTAAATTACGAAATCCCTCAATACGCGCATCACGATTGTAGGTGCGCGTAAACACAACCGGATCATCTGGCGGTGGTGCCTTTGACATTTTACCACCGACAATACGCTTGACACGATTGTGTGGACGCGGCTCACTCGTTACAATCGTCACACTCACCAAAAGTATTAAAAAGATTTTCAGCGTTTGGAAGTTAAAGACGCGCATTTTATCGCTATCACCACGACTCTCGGTTTAAAACTGACCGCAAGCTCGAATGTTAAGTACGGATTTCGTTTATAAATTTCTGAAAGTGAACATCATTGTATGTGTTTTGTGGTTGTCGGCTAGTTGCCTTTTTTTATAGAGCGTAGCAATGTTTTGAGAAAAAAAAAATAATAATAATAATGAAACATAACAAAACAGAAGAGAATTTAAATTAATATAAGCAGATAAAATGCATTCTGGAAGTTTGATAAAAGCTGTGCTTTTTATTTTTGCTTGACATAATTTTTATTTTTATACTTTTTCTTGTTTTACTGAGATAACTTTTTTTGGGAATTAACGTAAATAGCCGATCTAAACTGAATAGGAACATATATTTTTAAATGCTTCCTGCATGCGTTTAATTCGTTTATTTTTATGTTAGGCTAGGAGATTAGAGAAATAAAAATTCCTAAACAAATAACAATAAAAACGCTATGTTGAGAACATCCAATTGATTTTGCAAATATAAACAACAGAGTGAATTTCGAATTGGTAATGACGACTTAATTAGTGAGCTACTTAAGTGATGAAACTATGCAAACTATGCAAAGTGCGTATGCTATATCGAGTGCTGCCAAAATCAATTAAAACTTAACAATTTTAGCAGTATTATAATTATTTGTGAAGAATATTTTATAAAACGTTGTGTACCAAATTTTTCATATACTTTTTTTGGTGTTTACAATTTTTTTTTTAAATCTATGAACAAAAACAATTGACTTCCAATGAAACTAACTGTTGCTTACTCTATATATATCATACACAAAATTTACAAAACAGAAGAAAAAGATATCAACAATAATACATTAATAACACTAATACAAAACTTTGTTAAGTTACTATAGGGTTGATCTGGAACCCATACCCACTCTAGAGCCAGACAATTTAGAGAATTTACACATTTTTTTTTTGTTTTTATATTTCTTTTTTTTAAATTTATGGACAGCAGATCATCATACCCTATATTCTAAATATAATATTAACAGAAACTACAAAACAGAAAAAAACAATAAACTATAATACAAACCATTAACAATGTGCTCTGATTGTATAAGACAGATCTAGAATCCGGACCCGCTCAATGGCCAATCATTCCGGACATTATTTTTTTTTTTCTATTTGTTACTAAATGTTAATTAAAATCTATGAACAGAAACAATAACGTTTCCATTTTCTTATTATTCAATATACTCTACATAAAAAGTTCAGAAAACAAAAGAAAAAAAATCAACAATAATACAACGTATAAAGTACTTTGCTAAGGTTGTGTGAGATAGGTCTAGAGTCCGGACCCGTTCCAAACACAGGCAATTCACATATATCATTATCATCATATTATATCATTATTATCTTTTTAATTTTATTTTGACTCTATATGAATCTATATTCATATTCATTATTAAAAATTTAAACACTTTTTATCTATATTGACCAAATATATACATAAAGTATAATATATTCAATATATAAAAAAGAAATTAACTGTAATGCAATACATTCAATATTTTATTTCTTAAGGTAATTCTCGGCTCAGGGCTAACTTAAAACAGACAAGTTAGACACTTGTAAGGAACGCATTTAGTAGCACCATTTAGTTTGTAAGTGAAAACTGAGGATATATTGTATATCAAATTAACAGAAAATTCAGAAAATACAGTGACTGCCTTTAAAATTATTGCTAAAACGAACCTAAAGTAAAAGTATTGTCATACTGTAGATATATCCAGATATAGAGTTATGAATACTTTAATAAATCAAACATATAAGGTAGATGTAAAAATGGTGACAATTGAAACAAGTCTGGGCGAAGGAATTGATATGTTTTTCGTAATCTAAATAAGGGTAAGACCCTTATTATAGGGTTAAGTCCATGAACTGTTAAAAATTTTTTTACGGATAACAAAGAAACATATGTCAAACCAATGTTAAGTAAAGAGGTGCGTTCTTTCTTATTATTTACCATTATACTAGATTCTATTCTATGTACAAAAATAGATTCTATGTTAACAGCCTATTTAACGGAATGCCATTACTACGGATACACACATTAGTGCACATCAATTAATATTAATGTTAACATTTTTAATCATTTACTAAATATTTATTAATTATTTATCCAAAAATAGTTGCAACCCAAAAATACATTTTAATATAAATGTATTGTTTGATTTAATAGAACGACTTCTTTGTATTCAAGAAGATTTTAACTTCACTGCTAAGTTCTGTAAAACAAATTTAACACATGATAATTAAAATGATAATTAATAAAATTCTCTAAATTATAATATCATATCAGAATCAGAATATCAGAATTAACAACATTTTAATCATGCTTACAAATCTTATATTAAACAAAACAATTGCGAAAAATAGGCAAAATTTTTTAACAGTCGACTAGAATTATCCATTTGATTTGCAAAAATCGTTTACAATAGATCAGTTTTAGGATTTAACACCATTGTAATAAAAATTCTTGTTTATTAAGCAGATTTAATGAGAAAGTCTTATTTTTGAGAGTTTTGTTTTTGCAGTTACATGTTCATTTTTAAGCGACATGTGTTCTATTGAAGCATTCATGTCAAAAGAATACTCCTGTTGTATATAAATTTTATTAAAAAAAAATGATAACATATTGCAGTTAACATAATTAATATACCTAACTTAATTAAATAGCAGATCTACATAGACAGTCAGAAATCAAAACAAAACAACAAAATGGCAGAGAAGTAGGCGGTAAATAGTAATAATAGACATTACTGACATTAGATCGGGAACTTGAGCAATGTCTCAATAATTTAATAGATATATATAAAGCATCCATGTCAAAAGAATTCCTATTTTGTAAATAAATTTCAATAAAAAAAATTATATTAACATAGCAGTTAACATAATTAATATACGTAACATAATTAAACAGCAAATCTATACAGACAGATAGAAATGTAAACAAAAGGAACAAAATGGCAGAGAAGTGCATAGGTTAGAAACTCAACGCATTTATTGACATTAGGTCTAGAACTTAAGCAATATTGCAATAATTTAATATATCATATATATATAAGATACAGCAATTTGTCTTTTTATCCGGTAGGACCTAACGCTAGACCTGGCGTAACTACAATATGATTCGTTTTCAATTTTACTATCCTCTTGTACTTTCAGTATGAACTTTAAATCTATTTATGTACTATTAATCTATAATGTACAACTTAATCTTTTATCTCCTAACATTTTCTCTTATCCAGTGAATCCCTAAGTCATCGTACAAAATCTGCATAAATGCAACTAAATTGTTTAATATATTTTACATTAATAATATCGTTTGCAATGTACAATAAATTGCTTATTGTAGCTCACTTAAGTAACTTAATTGTAATCGCTTACAGTTAGTTTAAGCCCAAATTATTTAGAATAAAACTGCAAACGCTTCTATTAAGCACCCCTCCCGCCTGCCCGCCTCCCCGTTTCACTGTATATGCTTCACAAGCGATTGGAGATCCCAAAGTTGGGAATATATGTACGCATAAATAATTGCATTTTCATTGCTTATACAATTATGTAAATTTGTTTATGTGAGTCAGAAAGCGGTAAGTGTTGTTGCAGTGCCATGAGATACACAATGTATCTGTGATACTCACAGCAATAAAATTGCGACAATTGAAGCTCGAACGTTTTTAACTCATTTGCAATTTTGAACTGGTCAGTTTGGTTTGTAAGCTCTTGTCTTTACTTTATTTATTCATTTGTTTTTTTTTTTATTCTTCCACTATAAGTACTACACACGTAGTTGTTGTTGAGCCGCTTATTGATGTTATCGTTGTTCGCGAACATCGGATGTACTCTGAAAGGTTTACTTAAACTCAAAACAACATGACAGGAATAAAAAGTGTTTATTTTGACGTGAAATGGTTAAGAATTTTTAATTGCTTTAAAAAACACTAAAACATATTTTTTGGGTTTTTCAATTTTTTTTAATATATAAATATTTCGCAAGAGACACAAGCATGAAAATAAGTTCCATTAAAATGTTTTAAATTATTATCAAAACTAAAATGACCTTTAACGATAAAAACCATTCTCTTCCTTCACATAAAGTACAGTGGGTAAATATTTATTTGATGCAGTTTGATCCACAACTGAACCGAAAATGGAAAGCCAAAGATATTAATATGAAACTCGGAATTAAATATTTTTTTTGTAATTTATTTTCTTTTATTGCGATCTGTCACTTAAGAATAGACCATGAACAATATTCAAGAGTAAGTGACTAAATACTTAAAACTTTTGTGGGCTTGAATGAATGTGCTCAGTAACACATCCGTCTGTTGTAATCGGTCACAGATTAAAGTTTCAGTGGCCTTTTTTTGCGGAGACCTGTGAACTTTCTTCCGTCTGTTATAATTCTACTGGTAAAATGATTAGGATATAAAATACATAACAGATTGAACCCTGAAGCTATACTCGAAAACCGACAGGCTGCCCTGTATAGCACTATCTAATCTCAGAGCAGTCACTAGCCATACGGGGCGGTATGCAGATCTTAGATCAGTCATCGAATAAATAGTGAAGCTTGTAAGGAATACATAAATTAGTCAAAGAGGAAGGAGAGACTCTGTAGAAACCCTTCAGCTCTTTCTTACCCCCAGTAAGAGTAAAAGTGCGCAGTTGCACTAACTCGGAAAAACCTTAACGTAAGACATAAGACAAAAATATACGTATAAAATTAATTTTAAACAATTTAATTAACTTAAATAAATCTTTATAAAAATTTATATTGTATATAAAAAAATTGAAAAATTATTAATATAATTTTAATAAATAATAAAAAGTAATAAATATTATTTTATTCAGGCATTAACAGACATATCAACTCAAGGAGTATTGTAACGCTGTCGCCATAGGTTATGGACATATGTATGAAGTTATTTACTATATCTTTTTAATTTGAAGACAATTATTTAAAGTTAAATGAAGTAGATATATTAATAGTTGGCTACGATTTTTTTTGTTTATTAATTTAAACAATAAAATTTGAATGTATATATCTGTTGATACTTTTTCTCTACGAAAATTGTATTTTTAATATATTTTAATAAAATTGGTCGAAGTTTCAGAATTTCGCACATCACTTCGATTTAAATTTGTGGGATTCCCAACCTAATTTTCAAGTAAACGTCAAATAAATTTTTATTGAAAATTTTATGAAATTATATATAACAATTTTATTCTAGGAGAAAGCTGAGGACTGTGTTCTGAAATAATACACAGCGCGGATTTAGTACACAATCATTAACATCGGCGTTCTACTATTTAAAAGTTGAAAAAAGAAGGGGAGGAGGTAAATATTATATTTTACGAAAATATTTCAAATATATATATATGTATATGTATATACATATATAACATTTTTTGAAATTATATATAACTGTGAACAGTGCTCTGATATAATACATTGAACTCAGATTTACGGTATAAACTTATAAATATCAGCATTCTACTATCTAAAAGTTGCCCAAAAGAAGAAAGAGAATTCCAATAGAAGATAAATATTAAGTAACATATTACACGAACTTTCATACATCTTAAGATATATATTAAATATAAATGGCATTGACTGAAGCTATTATGTAAATTCCTTATTAAGAAATGCCACGCTTATGAGCAACGCGCTTTCCATGCTAATAAAGCCAATAAAATTGTCAGTTTTTCTGCTCCAGGACAGCACTTTTTTGTTTATTTATTTAAAAAAGAATAAGTTTCTAAAGCGTGTGCTGTCAATTTATATTGGTGTTCACAAAAATGTTTCCGCCCTAGGGAAGTATTCATTTTTCTTAAGACAACGTTTAAATAATTAAATATATTTAATTATAATTTCATTTAAATATATAATTACTGCAATACTCAGCTGTATAATTCCAGTCTAGCTCTAGTCCTTGAATGCTACATACCGTTCATAGTCTAGTTTTATACTACATTTATGTACATTTATGTTCGCATATATGTGAACAAATAACGCAACTTCATTAAACACGGAATTTTCAGAAATCACCTATAATGTGATAGAAATATATTTGTCAGTTATCATTTTATCTTTAATTATCAGATATAATTACTTCTCAAAATTCTAATATGTACAGTTAATTGTTAGTATCTAATCAACGAATATTCCAAAGATGGCTTCACCGAACAAGAACTCGTCAGTTTCCTTCGATACTGCCTGAACAGATAACAGCGTTAGTTGCTTCAAGCACTTGTATATATGAGAAATCTGTTTAATTGCGCTTTTCGCCTTAAGTATTTTCCAAAAGTTTGGAAAGTAGCAGAAGTAATCACTATACCTAAACCAAATAAGGACATATCTGTAACAAAATCATACAGACCAATTAGCCTATTACCAGTTATGTCAAAATTGTTTGAAAAAATAATTTTATCAAGACTAGAACCGATTCTTCATAAAGAAAAACTTATACCTGATCATCAATTCGGCTTTCGGAAAAAGTATTCGACTATACAACAAGTTCACAGAGTTGTTAATAAAATAACTAGTGATATTGACACAAAACAATTTTCCTCGGCGGTATATCTAGATGTCGCAAAGGCTTTTGACAGCGTTTGGCATGGAGGTCTGCTAACTAAACTATCAGAGCTTCTTCCAACAAACTTTTACCTCCTACTTAAGAGCTATCTACAAAATAGATACTTTTATGTGAAGTATAAAGACTCAATCTCCGAACTTAAACAAATGAAAGCTGGTGTGCCCCAAGGAAGCGTACTAGGTCCATTACTCTACTTGCTATACACGGCTGATGTTCCGATACCCTCTGATCCTCAAAGTTTGATAGCAACTTTTGCAGACGATACAGCCCTAATTGCAGCTAATAAAAATTTTAACATATCCACAGACAACTTGCAGAATTACCTAAACGCAACGCTCGAATGGTTCGGCAAATGGGGAGTTCAAATAAATACAAGCAAAACAGTTCATGTTATCTACACGAATAAAAAATATGACCTAAAACGTATAAAAATTAACAATGACGAAGTCTTCACACACACAAAGGCAAATTACCTTGGCATTACTATAGATAGCAGATTAACTTGGAAAGACCATATTAAAGCTAAAAGCAATGAAATTAAACGCCGCTTTGGACAATTGTACTGGCTACTCTGCTCGAAATCAAAACTAACAGTGGAAAATAAACTTCTAGTATATAAAACAGTAATCGCTCCAATATGGAAATATGGAGCCGAAATATGGGGCACAGCATGTAAATCCAACATTCAAATACTGCAAAGACTGCAATCAAAAATACTTAGGACTATCATCAACGCTGAATGGTACATCTCAAACTATGACATTCATCGCGATTTAAAGATACCCTTCGTTGCAGACGTTATCCGAAAAAATAGTAAAAAGCACACAGACAGATTACTTTTCCATCCTAACCCAACGATGAGGCAGCTACCTAATGACGAAGCCACACATAACAGAAGATTGAAACGCTTATTTCCATCAGAACTAGCAAACTAACTAATATATTCATAGTAAATTCATAGCAGTCTATTTAATTGACTCATTTATTATATCATCTATCCATTAATTTTAATTATTTTATAATACTTAGTTTATATAATTTAAAGAAAAGTTTTCTTTTTATCCACTATTAATAGTTCACTCATGTAATTCTTAATCTTGTTTTTGAATTATTACTTGAAGTTCCATTATGTAAAAATGTATACTAAATGCTAAATCTTGGCAGTTGTATAATAAAGGGAAGCAAAAAAAAAAAAAAAAAAAAGTTGCTGAAAGAGACTTTATAAGGTTTCACTCTTCTTCTTTATTTACCTCTCTTAATGTCATTTATTTGTGTCAAAGTAAATAAAATCGACATTTTGAGTACTATATAAGCAGTATGTGTGATATCCTTTTCTAGTGAAAGTGTGGCAATATTTTTCTCTGGTTCGCTCTCACTTATGCAGTCGTAAGTATCTATTTTTAAGTATCTATTCTTCTGTGTTTTGAATTAGTAAATCGGGCTCTCGCACTCACCACTATCTCTCTTGCATAAACGTACTAGCCAACTTCTTATAGGGAATATATCGATATTTGCATTATGATGACCAAGGCATCAAACGGACTTAGCCACGCAAGCAGTCTGGCAACGCTGTTAACATATATTATAGAACAAATGACGTTAGTTATTATATTTTTTAATTTAATTACAAATAAGAATCATAATTGTAAAAAAAACAAGATAGATGCGAGTATATTAGTTGGCTATGATTTTATTGTTTTATATTTTCATTAAACATAAACTTATAATATTCTAGTAAGAAATAAATTTTTCTGTAGAACGATTCAAATTTTCTCTCTTCGAAAATTGTTAGATTTCTGCATATTTTAATAAGTTTTGAGAAAATTTAAAGTTTGCTTTTTTACAGTGAATAATGCAGAACAAAACTATGGACATAGAGAAGACTCCTGGTAGTATATTTGAAGAACATCAGAAAACAAAGTACGGTACACTTAATTTGGGTCCAGAGATCAAATACTATAAGCGCCCAAAACTTTATCGTACAAAGACTTTGATGACTGCTATGGTTACAATAATCAGTCTTATAATGTGTTGTTTCTTTGCTTCAGTAGCTTACTTGAGCATTGGTAAAAAGAACAAGGTTGTGCAATTTAGTGCTCTGTGTGCTGTGCCAAGCTACGAAGAATATAATACAACAATTCCGTACCTTGTTATAACAGCAGACAACTTGAATTCTGAAATGAGAACAGTTATAGCGCCACAAATCTTTAAAGATTTGGTCGACAATGTTCCTTATGGGTATTTCTTTCGTCAACAAATTGATTTTAGTATTATGGATGGCACTCGAATTCACACTGTCGCTATTAATATTACTGATATCATGAATAACTTAGTAACTCAATTTATTCACAATTTTAAAAAGAATCACACCGCAATTGTGGACTTTAAAAACAAACGTTGTTTTATCATGAAACTTAACCGCAATGTTACCATAAATGCCTACAAGTTATTCTTGTCAATGCAGAGGATGGAAAATATTTATCCTTTACCGCACGGTGTTCAAATGGTACTTCCGAAACGTATAGTTCTACCAGCTGTTGCTGATCTATCCTTCGCTGATAAGGAAATGGTAAAGGATTGCCATGATAAGTATGTCTATATACTAACTGACTATCGTCCTTTTGGTGAGAAATAGCTTTGAATTTCATACATAATAATAGAATTATTCTAGTGTTTTATGTTTTCAGATGATTTCCCGGTTGAAGTGTTGATTACCAAATACAGTCGCTTTTATGAATTTTTTGGAAGAGGTATTACCGAATATAGCCTCGTCAATCTTAACGAAATTTTATTGCATGAAAAGCAATTGTAAAAATTTTTTAACTTAGTTTAATATTATTAAAATAATTTTTAATGTTAAGATTTATTTAAATAATTTTTATTTTTACTATCTGTGGTAATATTCTGGTAACGATAGATAAACACTATTTATATATTTAAGTAAGATCGAACGTAGATTTATCAATTGCAGGACAGGCTTTGATACCCAAAATTTTGTCATACTATATATCTCATAATAGGGGAACTAGTTTTAGTTTATTACAAAAAATCTTTAGCTTCAAGTAATTTTAGATCTGAGTATTTTTAAATTAATCTAGAATTTCGCCTAATAAATTTATTTTAATTTTTCATAAACTCATATATTCAACTTGCTCTAAAATAATATATTAATTTTATTTATTTAATTATAACTGCTGGCGTATGTTTTGTTAATATTATAATTATAATTAATTTTTAATTTCATGAATTTATAATTTGAATTACTACGACTGAAATAAAACGTATAAATGTAAAAAATTTTTTTTAATAATTTCTTAAGCTAAAATAAAAATTATTAAAAACTTATATAAATTCTATAAAATGAATAAATCTGAAAAATAAATATTTTTTTAATAATATATATAAATATTAATTATATATATTATAATAATAAAAGATTTATAAACTGATAAAATAGTTATTAAGTCTTCATTTTTGTAACTTTAGTTAAAATTTATAATATAAAATTATATACATATATACATATGTATATATATACCATCGGAAACGTTTTAGAGGAATTGATATGTAAAAAAACAGATCTGAGGAAGCCATCATAGAACATAAAAATAAAAACAATGTGTGATAAAGGGAAGAAAATGTCTATAAATTAATAAGGTTTTGATTTTCATTCAATAAATTGAATGAAAATTTTAAAATAAGTGCGATTTTGCGCAAAATAACAGAAATTTTGAAATGAACTCTATCTTAAATCATTACGACTTTTAAGTCTATTTAGATCGTCGGATATTTGAGCGCTTAATGATATTAGTTAATTTAAATTAACTAATTTGAAAACTTTATAATTTTTAATTATATGTTCTTTTGGTTACACATTTTTGACTACTTATGTATATATATATTGAAAAAGGAAATCTCCCGCAACCTTACGATTTTTCAGCTCAGGAATCCAAGGAAGCAGCTCAAGAACTTACAAAAAAAATACAATACACATATTATATGGATGCTAAATTCACTTGTATCTGCTTAAAGAAATTGCATGTACTTAAGAACCGATTTTTTAATTTAAAATACTTGCTACATTTTCAAGATTCATATAGAATTATTATTAGGAGATATAATATATATCAATGCTAATATTAGTTTCTCTTTATAAAGTTTTTATTGTCAGTATCTCAGTTAAAATAAATTATTTTGGATCTTCCACTTCTTATGTTAAAAGTTAAACATTATATATATTCGTTGAAAGTGACAGTATTTATCTAATGTTTTGTGCTACACAAGGCTGACATATACCTTGTGCTCAAAAAGTACCCGGATTTTGTAAATAAAACACACAAATTTAAATTTAATTCCAATTTTTTTTTATTTCCTTCAAAATATGCTCCTTCTGAAGCGATACACATATGCCAACGCTTAACCCAATCTTCCATACACTTTTCGTAGGCCCGTGCAGGTATGGCTTTTAGTACCTTCGGCGAAATCTCTTTTACCGATTCAATCGACTCAAAACGCTTACCACGAAGCGGCAATTTGAGTTTCGGGAACAGGAAAAAGTCGCACGGATCCAGACCTGGCGAATATAATGCTTGAGCGATGACAGTGGTGGCGTGTTTGGTCAAAAAATCGCGTACAACAAGAATTTTCCGTAGTAAAAATCGCTAAATGCACTTGAGGTAGTCTCACATTAACAGCTGCTGTAAACAAACTAATCGACAGATGACGCTCATATTTGTACCATATGTCAAGAAAGAGTATACTAACATAACAAATTTTTGAAAAAGTTCTATTACTTAAGAAGCAGTTAACAAACAACAAAATCCGGATACTTTTTGAGCAGAAGGTACATGACATGTACTCTGATCCACATACGAGTAATTTGTAAGACACTAAAGACGTTAAGTTAATGTTAGCTAATGGTATGGTTGTATAATTATATGCATGCTCTACAGTTGCTATTAACTTGAAAGAACATATTTGCAGGAAAGCCAACTTCTAAGGATAAAGTTTAAGAACTAGTTTTCGTTAGATGCTTTCCTTTGTAAACGTGGTTCAGTGATGTTAGCAAAGCCATAATGCCGGAAATATTGTCACAAATGAAAAAATAGGACAATAATAATAATACGAAGAAATGAAAAACACTCATGGGAGTTATTTTAAAAAATTATGTGACAATGGCTTAATTCAGTTTATTGTGAAATCTGTTCAAGAAGGAATAAACGCTGTTAAGGAAGAAGATAAATAAATGACTGTGCTGACTTAAAGAACAAGTGAAGTATGTACACAAAATGGCCAGTGGTGGTTTTCAAACAAAATTAAAGAAAAAAAAAATTTTTTCTAAATAATTTTGAACTAAGCAAATGCGGAAAAAAACAGTAAAAATAAAACAGAAATAAGAATAAATTAAGTTTAATAAAATAAAAGTCCTTGCCTCAAGAAAAATTTTCACAAATCTTAAATACTAACAAACAACAGACAACAGGCAACGGCCCAACTTAAAACATAAAAGGACCTGTGAATTATTTTCAGAAGTACTGAAAGCGAGTCAATTTAATATTTCATTGATTAAAATTTTTTGTTTGCAAATCTTTAAGATACACACATCTTGGCCGGAGGCACTTTTTTTATTTTTTTGGTAAAATTTTCCCCACTTGATTGTTTAATTTTTGTTGTTTGTAAATTTATTTGTTTATCTTTTAAATCCTTAGGTATTATAAACTTGTGTCTTGAAGGAATACGGAATTCCATATAATTATATTTTCTCTCAAACTCTATTTTTCCTAATATAATAAAAATTTTGACAATAACCTCAGTAAAGTTTCTATCTTATCAAAGCATGTAAATGTCATTAAATGATATCGCTAATAGCAGATATTTTTAAAAACTCTTACTTACTTTGAGATAAAGTTTAGTGCATCAAAATGAATTGCGGATTGTGATGCTTAATAGAAAAATTAATTTTTTGAAAAACGGTATACAGAACATAATAATATACTCATAAACGCAAAACTAAAAAGATAAATATTTTCAAAAATTTTGAGCTAAATTCACTGAATGTTAAAAAACTTTGAAAAAAGTTAAATTTTAACCATCAAAATTTTCAAAAAAACACATTGAACACATTGGACATCACAGTTTAGAGAATATTCAGTAAACTGCAATTAATTTGAAACTTTAGCTATCAAAATAATAAATTATTGGGATATTTGAGTATTTTTACTGAACAATTTTGCAGATATACAATTTGATAGATCCGTATATCCATTTAATCCCTGTAATTATGGAAAAAAGGAACCCAAGCATTCAATTTTTTAATTATTCAGTTCAAAATATCTTCTTCCAAGTTGAAGATATATTAAAATAAGTCAAACCATTTTCAAACTCATTTACATAGTAACATCAATTATTATTGGAAATGGAAACCTTCTTCCATCATATGATTTTTTACGTTTCTTGGATCAAGAAATTAGAAATTAGATATTATCTCAAAAATTTACGAAAGGTATACAGTATACACATTGTATAGTACTAAAAATCATAGGATTTTTTTGTTTAAAGTATTAACTGAATATTAGAAATCGTTATTGAATATACCTACAATCAGGAAAACTGATATATATCACTACTAATAATCGTTTATATTTAGTTCATATATAGTTCGACCACTTGTGTTGCGCTCATTTTTATAGTATAATCAATAATTACTGATGTGAAAATAATATAAATTTTTTCATTTTAGATTTTATTTCTAATTAAAATATTCTTTTATTTTCATATAATTTCGTATTTTAAAGTTAACATACCAGAGTGTATTTCAATCCAGATTTTGTAGAAGTATATGTCTTACCATATCCTTATTTGCAGCTGTATGAAATTAAATTTAGCAACAAATGACAAAAACCGAGCTATTATAGTTGTTATTGTCGTTAGGACTAGAAAAATATAATAAGTATCAGATATTAAAACCCCCACTTCTAGTTGATAACATATTCTATTCCGTACCAATTTTTGATTTAATAGTACGTAATAAAAAATAATCTTTAATATTCATAATAAGTAAAGCAGATGTCTTCTAAGCTTTCGCTATGGAATTTGTCTCTATAAAAAACATCTAGAACTAAAATAAAGAATATGGATTTACGCCGATAAAGAAAATTCCGATAATATTATTTTAAATATTTTATTATTACATTTTAATGAAATGTTTCAGTGCGAGTTAAGCATAGCCAGAGTAACGAAAGAAGGGAAGAATACTTCTTTGACATCATTCAAAGTACCAAGTTAAAGGTTCTTTATATGAATGCAAACGCTGATAGCTGATTGCATAGTTCAGTAGTTTCAATAAAATCACAGTAGCATAAGAAGTGTGAAGATTTAATATGTCATACTGATCTCAACATTAGTCCTAATCGAATTCTCTTGCAATGGTTCAACTGCCAACTTTTATGAGCTCGTTTTGGCTCTATACATTTCCAATTCAAAAATTAAGTCATTGATAATAAACGGTTTACATTATTCGGATTAATTTTAATTTAATCCATAAAAAATCGTTCAATCCATAGATTGTAAAAAATTAAAACTCAAGAAAGGGAACAGCAAGTCTACTTCATAAATAAAATTTTTATTAACTTTTTTTCTATTTTATTGAATAAAAACATTCTGTTTATTCAAAACAGAAAAAATGGAGATGAGTTCAGAGTTGATTGCTTATGCTATCCATATTATAGTAGTGATCTTCCAGTAGTCATCGCTTCTGGCTTCTGTGCACTGACACTGCCTTTGTCATATACGTACTTGTTGACAACTGCAAAT